TCCTGAGCCATTATAATGCTGCATGAAGCTTTGTTAATTCCCCCTAGTGCTTGTGATGTGAACATTGAAAAGCAATTTCTTCACAATGCTTATAGATACAGAGATGAATGAGGGCTTGCTGAGAATGTTTAAATACTTTAGCCTGCATGATCTGGACACAGATTTACTTTAAGATCTCGGTTCCTCTAGAAGCAGTATCATATGCCACATTGTTACACGTTGCTAAGAAATTTACCTGGTAAGAAAATAAAAACTCTGTACAGTGGTACCTCGGTTCACGAACGCCTCTGTTCGCGAACAATTCGGTTCGCGACCAGGAAGTACGTCAAAATGTTGCCTCAGTTCGCAAACTCTGCCTCGGGTGACGAACACGACCACGGCCATCTTCCCCGCTCTGACACATGGTCGTGGCTTCCTGTACTCAAGATTGCGGTCGCAGACCGGGCTGTGGACACTTACTGTGAAGCTTTTTTGTATGCTTTGTAGCACAGTACAATGTATTACTGTATTCAATCCAGCATGGCTCCCAAGAAAGTGCAGAGCGAGCATGGTGGTTAAAAGAAAGCGCAGAGCATTAATGAAGGTGACAAGAATGTGCAGAGCGTTAATGAAGGTGACACGAATGTGCAGAGCATTAATGAAGGTGACAAGAATGTGCAGAGCATTAATGAAGGTGACACGAATGTGCAGAGCGTTATCGAAGGTGACAAGAATGTGCGGAGGGTTATTGAAGGTGACAAGAATGTGCAGAGCGTTATTGAAGGTGACAAGAATGTGCAGAGCTTTATTGAAAGTGACAAGAATGTGCGGAGCGTTATTGAAGGTGACAAGAATGTGCAGAGCGTTATTGAAGGTGACAAGAATGTGCAGAGCTTGTGGTCAAACCTTTTTTTTTTTAATATGGTTCAGTGGGACAGATTAACCTGATTTACATTGAACCCTATGGGAAAATGTGATGCGGTTCACAACCAATTCGGGTACCACTGTATTTTCTATTTACAATGCTGCACAGATTGTCATCTGTATGCTGCGACCTGAATAAAACGATACACTCTGCCAGCACTTCAGAAATGGTAAAATCCTGTTAAACATGAATGCCGGTCCCTCGTGGCTATCTTCCTCACAGGTTTATGTAATATTTATAGTCTATATTTAGGAGAGAAACTGCTTCTATGCCTTCGTCTTAAAGATTGATTGGCTTTCAAATTCATCCTATTAGCATGATTGATGCCCTTCTTAGTTTTCAAATACGCAAATTAAAAACATGAAAAAAAATATTTGGGAAAAAGAAAAAATACATACCTTACATCCTGTGGTGACATCATCCGTTCCTCTTGGCGGATCCTGGGACAGCTGAGGATTCCAAATCTCATTAGAAGATGCTGTAAAGGAGCGCAGGATCACATTTTCATGCAAGGTTCGCCATAATGGTACAGGGGGCATTAATTGGCTTCTGAGGGTTATGGAAGCTCATATGTCAGAGGTGGGCAACTCTGGCCCTCCAGGTGTGCTTTACCTACAAATCCCATCATGCATCTGTCTCTGGAAGCCATGTCTATGTCCCGCCTGGCTGTTAAACTAGTCCCCACAGCCTCATCTCCCTCAGGCTCTGGCAGTCTAAGGACCCATGATGTCATCACTTCTATACAGGTGCATTAGATATGAGCATGCTGAGGGACATTCCACCACCACCAGCAGCCCTTCTGCAAAGGTTAATGTTTACATTTACAGCTGTATAAATATTAGACATGTGAACAACAACAAAAATTCATTCCAGACAGATTTCTACACATGCGCACCACCATTTTGGAGTAGATCTTGGTATACATATATACATACGGGGAAAGAGGGACTAGTTTTAAGTAGTATTATAATTCGGTATGGACTGTAAAATCAATAAGTGGGTCTCCAAAAATGAAATGAATAGCTATTTCCACAGGTCCCCTACAAGGAGATTCCACCTTGTTTATTATTAAATACAGAAAATAAAATCTATATGTTAAGATATACAAAAATGTATAATCTATAAAACTTTTTAAAATAGCTTGAAAAAGTTTACACATGAGATGGAATATATCGATCAAAGGGAACAAAGGGCTGTCCGGGGATGAAATCCTCCAGGGCTTATTAGACATATTATATGTCTTTGGAGACATGATGTGGATCAGATAATGCTGGTAGACATGTGCGCTGGCAAAAAAATTGTTTCTTTTTGTTTTGATTCAGATTTTGCTTTATTTAGTTTTTCGGGATTCGGGTCCGAACTTCTATCCGGTTCGAGATTCGGATTCGGAAAATTAGTTAGTGGTAGTCCGGTCAAAATTTTGTTTCGTTTCAGCAAAATGATGTTTTAGAAAAAAAAACTAGAGTAGAGGGGGAGAAAAAGCGTGAGGTTCCCTCCCAATTCATACCAGACCCTACAGGTCTGGTAGGAATGTTAGAAGGGACCCCCCCCCCAAGGTAAAACAAAAAAAACTGCGGTCTGGTAGGGATTTTGAGGGGGAACCCCAGCCCCCAAAAATGGGGAAAAAAATGTGGGGTCCCCCCTAACAGTCCTACCAGACCCTTGATCAGAGCACTGGCCCGGCAGGGAAGGAAAGGGAGGGACGATCGAGCGCCCCCCCCCTGCGCCTTACCAGGTCACGTGCCCTCGACATTGGGAGGGTGTCCCCACAACCCTGAACCGGTGGTTGTGGGGGTCTGCAGGCAAGGGGGATTATTTGCATCGGAGTACCCCTTTAATTAATGGGGCACCCAGATGTCACCCCTCCTTGTGAATGAGTAAGGAGTACGTGTACCCATTCACTAAAGGATTAAATAAAAGAGTTATTATAAAGACTAGACTTTTGATAAAAGTCTTAATCGTTAATTATTTTGATCGATCAAAGTTCTTTGGATGCGTACTCACCTCTCCATCCTTTAATTAGAAAAAAACCAGAGACAATTTTTGACTATTCCTTTAATTAAAAAAATGAAAAAATGGCTCCATCGATGTAATCCAGCGTCAATCACAATGCATGATGACCTCTCAGGTTTTTGATGCTTTTCTTCATGGCCCTAGAGAATTTTGGCGGGCTGCTTCCCAAACTTTTGGCAGGCTGCTTCAATGCGACTGTACTGCAACAGTGTACCAACCACCCAGCATGTGGTTGCAGTACGGTATTGCAATACAAAATCACCTATGGAGTCAAAGAAAAAAAGAAGTATTTAGGAGGCAGCAGCATCGCCTACTGAATGCCTGCAACATGACCCACCGCAGATCTGATTGTAGTCTCCTTTAGGCTTAGTTCACACCGGAACTGCAGCAGAACCGCAGGTGTTTGCACACCTGCGGTGCGATGCGTTTTGCTATGATTTTGCCACGGTTTCACTGCGATTAACATGTTTTTTTTTGGGGGGGGGGGCTTTTTTGTGTGTGCTTAAAATGGGATTTCAGGTGCGTTGCATTGCATGCGTTTGCATGCATTCAGTCGCGATCCAATGCAGGTAAAATAGTGCAAGCAGTACTTTTTCTGGCTGCATCAGAACGGACTAGTCTTATGTGAACAGACCGATACTATGTATTGTATGTATGTACTGTATGAGGACCGACCTGACTTATCTAATCAATTTGCATCCAATCAGGCAGGCCCTTGAATTACATACTTGCTCTTAGATCTAAAGGAGATTGTACAATCAGATTGTAACAGCTACCAACAACTATATAGTGCAAGGGCCCGCCTGATTGGATACAAAATGATTGCATATGACATAGTTTTGGTTAATCTAAAGTTGATTGTACAAGGATTGTAATATGTATGGTGGGCCAGAGTTGTTAGAAAGATTTCCTCTCACTTCCTGTTGGGTCTACAGGACAGGAAGTGAAATCTCCCCAATGAGACACAGATAGCCAAAAAAAACTGACAGCATTTTAACTCCTTATCTAAAATGAAATAAAATATTTGACTTAAAATATGTATTATTAGGTAAATATGGCTGTAGGTAGATATGGATATCTAGAATAAGAAATCTTACACAGAAATAAAGGTTTTTAACTCCTTCACATGCAGCTGATCTCTATGCTCACTTATGTTTTTTTTTGGGGGGGGGGGCTTTTTTGTGTGTGCTTAAAATGGGATTTCAGGTGCGTTGCATTGCATGCGTTTGCATGCATTCAGTCGCGATCCAATGCAGGTAAAATAGTGCAAGCAGTACTTTTTCTGGCTGCATCAGAACGGACTAGTCTTATGTGAACAGACCGATACTATGTATTGTATGTATGTACTGTATGAGGACCGACCTGACTTATCTAATCAATTTGCATCCAATCAGGCAGGCCCTTGAATTACATACTTGCTCTTAGATCTAAAGGAGATTGTACAATCAGATTGTAACAGCTACCAACAACTATATAGTGCAAGGGCCCGCCTGATTGGATACAAAATGATTGCATATGACATAGTTTTGGTTAATCTAAAGTTGATTGTACAAGGATTGTAATATGTATGGTGGGCCAGAGTTGTTAGAAAGATTTCCTCTCACTTCCTGTTGGGTCTACAGGACAGGAAGTGAAATCTCCCCAATGAGACACAGATAGCCAAAAAAAACTGACAGCATTTTAACTCCTTATCTAAAATGAAATAAAATATTTGACTTAAAATATGTATTATTAGGTAAATATGGCTGTAGGTAGATATGGATATCTAGAATAAGAAATCTTACACAGAAATAAAGGTTTTTAACTCCTTCACATGCAGCTGATCTCTATGCTCACTTTTGAAAAGTGACTCAGTTGGACAGCTGCGGGCAGCATGGAGTTAACAAGTGTACAGGGCAAATCACGTGCTCTGTCATGTGACGGGAGATTAGTGGAGGTGGAACCCGCGAATAGGGGCGTGGCTATTATAATGTTATGGGCGTGTCCGATCCCTGGCGTGGTATGGTAGGGTGGGACGGGTTCCTGTAGCCGGGTACGCCTCCTGTGGGCGTGTCAGGCTGGCTCTCATGGAGGGAGGTGGGAGGAGAAGGAAGAGGAGAGAGGGGACAGTTCCAGCAGCAAGTTGCTTTTATTATTGAAGCGGCGACAGTGAGCGGACCGCCAGAGGAGGAAGCCCCCGGGTGCACGGCACAGCCCCCTCACTGCATGAGTCCATGGATTACATGGTAGGTGCCCCGTCACCCTCTTATCTGATGGCTGCCCAGGCCATTAGCAGCGATGAGATGCCTGGAGATAGGTGCCAGGCTCCAGGTTGGAGGAGGCAGGACCTATAAAGCGTGCTCCACGGAGCTGACTAGCCTCAATGACCAGTCAGTGGCCCCTGTCATGAAGGCTGTGCCCATGTCACAGGTGTATGTGTGCTGGCAGCTTGTGGCATACAGTCACTGCATGGCCTGAGCTACCTTTGATCACATCTCTGTCACTGGCTGTCCTATGTCATTGGGTATGTTGGTGATCTCTATCCTCAGGCTTCGGGGCCAGGTGTGGCTGGGAATGACCTGTGATGTGGCCTCCTGCAGGTGTCTGTGTTCTATCATAGACAGGGCACCCGGCTTGTCAGACTTGTGTATATACAGCTCCATATTCATTAGGTACACAGCTGGCATGGATTAGGGTGGTGGTGGGCAACTTTCATCATATAGGGGTCCTCAGGTGTGGCCCCTGACATGACAGGAGATGGTCTGTGAACCGCTATAGGAGTTGTTGGAGACTGCTGACATGTTACAAGACCCGGTCGGAGACTGCGGAGGCGTTACGAGACCCGGTCGGAGACTGCGGAGGCGTTACGAGACCCGGTCGGAGACTGCGGAGGCGTTACGAGACCCGGTCGGAGACTGCGGAGGCGTTACTAGTCCCGGTTGGAGACTGCGGAGGCGTTACGAGTCCCGGTCGGAGACTGTGGAGGCGTTACGAGTCCCGGTCGGAGACTGTGGAGGCGTTACGAGTCCCGGTCGGACTCGTAAAATAAGTCTGAACGCTCCCAGGATGCCAAAGATTCAGGTTTGTGTAATAGCAGCGAGATACTGCTAACGGTGTGCGTCCAGTCCCAGCAAAGCCTCACGTGCCCAATGCGTTTAGAGAGGCCAAACACGCCTGGAGGCATGTATATTTTAATTGTCATGTGCATGGGGCCTAAATAATGATGCATGTTGTCTACATACAAGAGTCACGTGTGTTCTCCAATCTTGGTGGGCTTTGTGTATTTCTTCCAGATCTGTGTAGGAGCTTCTTGTAATAAAGACCAGTCACTGCTGCTCTCTCTCCTTGTGCAGGGTGACTGGTCTTGTTCCCGGCCTCTCTTGTAGTTTTCTTTAGCTAGTCTATAGTGGGTGGAGCCTGCTGGGCCCCTCCTACAGCTATTTTCTGCTCAGGCTATGTACAGCACAGTGATGATGTCACTGCTCCATTTACAAGGTAACATCGGTGGGTATTTGGTATATATTGGTGGTGTAATGGGTATTTGGTGGCTGTTGAGGTTTGTATTGCTGTGCCCAGAATTCGGCGTTGATAATGACGCGTCCTATTTGATATTTCTCTCAGCAAAATCCATTATAAGAGATCAGAGGAACCAAAATCATAAACGAGGATAGAGGAGGACAGCACAGAATGAAGGTCAGTGTGAAAGAAATTAAGCATTTCTACTATTCTAATAGTACGCCTTCACTGTCTGCCACACAATGAATTCCAAAGGGCCACAGGGTGGTCATCTAGGGCAGTGCTCCCCAACCTTTTTATCGCCGTGGACCGGTCAGCGTTTGATAATTTTACCGCGGCCCGCTGAGTGGGGGACGTTGATTGTTTATATTTTAGATTGTTTTGATTTAATAATTTTAATTTGTGCTGTCAGTGCCATTATTTTCTAATGGCACCACAGTCGTGCCAGGCAGATTGAGCGTTTTCCTGCTGCAATACAGCCCTGCCCGTGCGGTTGCACACAATCGCAGTTGAAAACACTGCGCGTTTATTCGCGTGCAGATGGGGGCAGCGGGGCTGGTTTTCATTTATTCAATTTTTATTTACTTTGGAAACATTTTATTTGTTTTATTTTATTTTTTACATTTTTATTTTGTTACGTTTTTAATATTTTTTACTATTTATTTTTTAAACTTAACTGTATTGCTATTACACTGAAATTTGGATAATAGCCCTGCTAATGCGACATACCGATAGAGCACTGCACATAGGACCTATATTTAAATATGATTTAAAGCTTGAGGAACACAAACAGTAAAGACTTATTATATCATATTTGGTATTTTTGTTTTGTTTTATTATTTTTACTTTATCACCTCACCTTTTTTTTTATTTTGTTACGTTTTTAATATATATATTTTTTTTAAACTATTTATTTTTAAACTTAACTGTACGCTCCCTGCCCCCCACTCGCAGCGCCCCGCCGTGTGCGGTCCGGTACCATTTTGATCCACGGACCGGTACCGGGCCGCGGCCCGGGGGTTGGGGACCACTGATCTAGGGGATCATGGGATGTGTTTGGTAAGGCCAGAGATCATGAATGTATATGAAGTGTGTGTGTGTGTGTGTGTGTGTGTAGCCCAGGCCATGGATTGGATGGGGCAGGGAAGGCTTAGACCCTCTGTCAGGGTTTTATTGCACCGTGTGTCCCTACTTTTGAGGCTCGTCCCCCTCTATTTGTCCTGGTTATCGTCACCAAAACAGGAAGTGATTGCAAATCCAAAATGTTATTGTCACCAGAACAAGAAGTGAGGACAAATGTTGCTGTGGCAACCGCCTGTAACTTTTATAAAAGTTTCCTTTTACTTCCTGTTATGTCTCTAGTACTAGTACAGGAAGTGAAGGGGATTCTTTCCAACAGGCTACAGACATCAGGAAATTCTCCTGGCTGATATTTTAACTCTTTCCTACACTTAATAGGTATTTTTTTTTTTTAAAGGTGAGCTGTGTGAGATTTAGAATTTCACCTGATATCAGCCTCTTATTAAAGGACAACTATGAGGTGAGTGCTTTTCACTCATCCTCATAGTTCTAGCCGACCTGTGACAATGAGACTGTCACAGGTCGGCTCAGTAGACAGCTGGCTCTGCCTCTAGATAGGCAGAGCCAGCTGTCAGTCACGCAGATGGGCGGATCCAGACATAATTGTCGGGATCCGTTTCAGCTGCGGCGTCTCAGTATACCGCGAGCAGCATACTTAGCCTAGGGTGACGGGAGGACGCTAGTTTGTGTCCTCCTGTACTCTTAAGGAGAACTATGGGGTTAAGGCTTTTCCCCATAGTTCTCCTTTTAACCATTGTACAGCAGAGCTCAGACTGGGAGGCGGGGAAGCAGCACTGGGAGCCAGTCGGGTATGCTGTGTGCAGATGTTTTGACAAGGAACATGCTGGTATGAGGAAAGAGCAGAGTGATGAACTTGTCAACTGTTTTTCTTTTCACTGTCCAATCGCAGGCTGTGGGAGGGATAAGACCTGCAAGTGTTACTTTACCTGGAGCAAAGACAAATCGGGTCTACTGTGCCACCAGACAAGGCTGTGCTGTGTGATGTCGGGACCGGATGGAGAGAAATCCCATCCTTTGGCAGGTGGAACAGCTCCCTTCTGTTTACGTCATCTATGTATTGATTGTTATTTATAGAGTGCTGACAATTTACGCAGTGCACATTCCCATTAGTCCCCGCCCTCAAGGAGCTTACAATCTGAGGTACATAGTTCTAGCCGACCTGTGACAATGAGACTGTCACAGGTCGGCTCAGTAGACAGCTGGCTCTGCCTCTAGATAGGCAGAGCCAGCTGTCAGTCACGCAGATGGGCGGATCCAGACATAATTGTCGGGATCCGTTTCAGCTGCGGCGTCTCAGTATACCGCGAGCAGCATACTTAGCCTAGGGTGACGGGAGGACGCTAGTTTGTGTCCTCCTGTACTCTTAAGGAGAACTATGGGGTTAAGGCTTTTCCCCATAGTTCTCCTTTTAACCATTGTACAGCAGAGCTCAGACTGGGAGGCGGGGAAGCAGCACTGGGAGCCAGTCGGGTATGCTGTGTGCAGATGTTTTGACAAGGAACATGCTGGTATGAGGAAAGAGCAGAGTGATGAACTTGTCAACTGTTTTTCTTTTCACTGTCCAATCGCAGGCTGTGGGAGGGATAAGACCTGCAAGTGTTACTTTACCTGGAGCAAAGACAAATCGGGTCTACTGTGCCACCAGACAAGGCTGTGCTGTGTGATGTCGGGACCGGATGGAGAGAAATCCCATCCTTTGGCAGGTGGAACAGCTCCCTTCTGTTTACGTCATCTATGTATTGATTGTTATTTATAGAGTGCTGACAATTTACGCAGTGCACATTCCCATTAGTCCCCGCCCTCAAGGAGCTTACAATCTGAGGTCCCCATCTCGTATATATACGAGGGCCAATTTAGAAAGGAGGCAATTAACCCTCCAGCATGTATTTAGAGTGTGGGAGGAAATCTGAGTACCCGGAGGAAACTCACGCAAGCACAGGGAGAACATGCAAACTCCTTGCATACAGTGGTGTCACAAGGGGGGTGCAGAGGGTGCGGCCCGCACCTGGGTGCCACCATTGGAGGGGTGACACCAAAATGACTGACAGTCATTTTGGTGTCACCCCCTATGAAATGTCTGCCACTCGGTCACGGACCGAGAGCCCGATAGTGTCAGATGAGAGGAGGGGGACTCTGCGGCATACCCCGCCTCTCTCTGCTGGCGTCCATCACAAAGATGCCCGTTGGCAGGCGTCAAAAAGATCAGTGCGATGATGTCATTGCACACGAGCGGCAAAGTCACGGCAGGGGGGCACCCGGTCTCTGCTCTGGATGACACCCAGCCTCGGGACGCCACTGCTTGCAGATAGTGACCTGGCCGGGATTCGAATCGGGGACCCCCAGTGCTACAAGACAGAAGCGCTAACCACTACACCACTGTGCTGCCCCATTCTAACGCACGTTCAGCTTTAAGAATGCCGCACTGTACTGAAGAGTCATTTTAGTGTTTTTGGCCCTATGGCCTCACCATAATTTTTCAGGCGAAGGGGGTGTTGTGCTCCTTATTGGAAGCATGACATTCAGAATAATAGTTCATGGTAAGTTGGTCACAATGCTGTGTGCCAAGAAATACACATATCGCTGCGTTCAGCATCTTAGTTCCCATTCACACCTTTGCAAGCGTTTCTCC